CAAGGTAGAACTGCTGCTGTGGGTTTCCAAGACTAAGTCTTTAGAGGAGTAGAAAGCCTCATTGTTCTCCCAAGGGGCAGCTGGAGGTTTTGAACTGCTGACCTTGCAGTTAGCAGTCCAGTGCCTAACCACTATGCCACCAGCGTGCCCGTATCCTCATGAAGGTTATTTTATAAAGGAGCATCAAAGATGATTCTAGTACCGAATTTCACAGTAGTCTCAAATACCGTTCTCTAACTAACTGGAATACCAGTCTTTTACTGGTGCTAACGGTGGAGAGAAAGACCCTGTGTGAACAGGTCTTCGCTCTTCCACCCATAGGAACACAGTGGGGTGTTAAGCACGCTGCATTGGTCTGCTCCAAGTACTAATCAAATAAACCTCTATTCAAAGAAGACGATATGACATTAAAATCCTGACATTATCTAGGTAAATGATTCAAGAGGGATCTATTTTGAGACTACAATCAGAACAGAAACTAATTCAAATGCACATGTAAACAATTTCAATATAGCAGAATATAAGCAAAGGATGATATAACTAACCCCTCATTAAACCAGTACAATATGAAAAATTGCTATATTTCCTATAGACACGATCATCTCATAATAAAATTCTGCTCCAAGTATGTTGTTGATATCATTACATTTAAGCATACCTGTACTTTCTCTTCTGAGACACATTTATGGCGTAGGCATTTACAGAGCCATCCACCTTCTTCCCCTGGAGAAAGGCAATGAACAAACAGGAAAACCAGGAAGGATACATTAAATGTCTTGAAGACATACCACAAGATTCACTTAAGAATGAGCTAGCCCAATGAGGGTGAAGAATTTCCAAATCCTAATGAAATCCCAGAAATTCCCGCATTACAGCTCTCTGCCCACCTTTTACAAATTATAACGAACATAATTCACAACATTTGCCATGTCGTTCTTCTAAAAATTTACAAATTCTGGGTCGTGAAACACCTTTCTCATGTACACCCATCACCAGCTGCTCACATCTGTATAGTCACACAAACAAGTTCTACAACACTCCGTAAAGCACATAAATGGCATGTGTGTTATGGACAAGGCAACTCAGGCAGTCGGGTAGCAGTTGCTAACCTTTTTGGCTAAAAATTCCTTTGAAAGCAGATACAAACCAGAGATGCTATCTCCAGAAAGATCCACATTGCACACTTGAACACTCTCAAGTCCTGCCGGGCACGACCACTATTCATCTCAATCCCATTCCTTGTTTTTTTCAGGTTTCTACCACTTTTATTATTACGAGGTGGGGCCCCGAGTGGGGCCTGGCAAGCTGATGGATGTGGTCCCGGGGATCAAGGAGAGGCCGCAACTGGAGACACAGTCACCACAAAGGAAGGACACGGTCCAGGGATGCAGGAAAAATGATCAGACAGGCTGGGGTCGTCCAGGCAAGGGCTGGCCCCTCACTCTCGCTTCTTGTAGTTTTCCAGGTATGACAGGACCCAGTCGGATGGCACGAGGAAACACAGGAAGGAGGTGAGCCCAACACCGCATTCCGTGGTCCTGAGCTGTCGCTGCAGAGGCTTTCAGTGGACGCTGGGCCGAGCCCGCCAGGCCCCTCAGCAGCAGCGGCGTCAGTGCAGAAACGACAAACAACACTGTCAGCTCTCAGCCCAGCCCAAGGTCGAGAAGATTCAATCCCCTTTCTTGCACAGGCCTTATAATTTTGGCTTTTAAATCAAGAATCCAAATATAGAATAACAGGAGCTGCTATTGCTAGGATTTGGCCTTTCTCCGTGTGGCCTCCACCTGCCTTTCCACTAACTCTTTATGGGCCGCTTGATCCAGCCGAGCTCACTCAGGCGAGAGAACTTGCCTCCTGGCCTCCATGCTGTTTCTCACCCTTGAACAGCCTTCTTCTCGACTTCCATCTGGTCGTTAGCTGTCAGATTCTCAGCCATCATTCAAGGCTTAACGAAGACCCTGCCGCCAGGAAGTGCCCTCTTCTCTAACTCGTGTGGACAGTCCACTGTGCTTTCCTCACAGTAGCCCCATCTTCTACTCTGTAGTATCAGTATTTCTCCTGTGACGGTGAGTATTGTAGACTGAATTATGTCTCCCCAATTCAATACAGTCCTGTTTGGAAACAGGGTTTTCTTTGCTATGGGAGGCCAGCCTCGGTAGAATGGGTTCGAAATCAAATCACATCTGAGTCCAAAACTAGTAGATTAGAACAAAGAGACATGCACAGCGAGGAGATGCCAGGGAGTCTCGTCAAGGGCCCAGGGCTGCCACAAGGAGGACCAGACGAGCTTTAGAGCGTGCGGTGCCCTGTTAGCCTCCCAAACCGTGAGAGAAGGACAGCGCTTCAAAGACCTCGTACATCTGAGCGTCCCCTTTAGATGCTGACATCCTAGGTGTGCTGAAGTGAAATTTCTTTAAAAAAAAAAATCTTTTTATTGGGAGCTCTTACAGATATTATAACAATCCATAATTCAATAGGTCAAGCATAATTGTATAATTGCTGCCACCATCACTTTCTTATTTATTTACTTATGCCACCATCCGTTTCAAAACATTTTGTTTCTTCTTGAACTCTTTGATATCAGCTCCCTTTTATCCCCTTCCTCCCCTCCCCCTGAACCCTTATTATACTATATATTATTATTACTAAAAAAATAAAAATAAAGAAATTTCTTAATATGGCTATTCTGCCCAGGTCTCTGTAACTCCCACCCAATGAAGGGGTGAGACTGTGCAAACAGGGCGCATGAAACACTGATAGAGGGAACTGGCCAGTTTGGCTGCCATTCCCCCCTAGGAGAGTCAGCTCAGAAGCAGGAACAGAGAATTCGCTAGACCATCAAGGAAGAGTCACCAACAGCGCTACATTTGAGATCCCTGCTTCAGTGATGGAGGCTAAGCCAGGGGTGATGGAGCAGAGGAGCAGTTTGCAGACTACGAGACTGAGGAGGAGCAGTGGGTGGGTTTCCAGTCCCACAGAGGCAGAGGCCAAGTGCATTTATGGCTGAGGCTAGAGTCAGAGTGAAAGACTTGACTGCTGGCTAAGGAGAAGCACTGCTGTAGACTAACGAATGCATCCTTGATGATTTCTCTTTCTGCTTGTGGTAACCTGTTAACTTCCCAAGTAACAGGGAAACAGCTTGAAAAGACTGGCCTTAAGAAAAATGCAAATGATGCTAACCTTTTACGTCTAATTCCTAACAGCTTACTGATTTTTAAAAACTAGACAGGTCTAAGGAAGCATCGAGCCTCTAGCAGGGCACCTCTTAGCTCGAACTCATCAGTCTGTCGAATTGTTCCTTTTTTTTTTTCAGAAACATCCAAAATTGTACAGATTTCCTTATTTTCAACTGCCATGGCTTGCTGAATTAAAGCAGCTGAATTTGATAGAAGTTCAATGTTGTTTCCTTCAAGAATTAACTCATCTTTCTGGGCTAGAGTCCCGGAACAAGCAACACCTGTCCTCATCTGAACCCTACGGATACATTTTTCACCCAAGAAGCTATGGCTTTCCACCAGAGACCCGTTCTTCTAAAACACTGATGCTGACCGGGAAGCGGGCGTGCACAGGCCTCATGCTGTAGCCAAGCCCAGTAAGTCTAACACCTCGATCAGGTTCAGAACATGAGGAACTACTAATCCCGTGACTACAGCCAGTTCCTCTCCATTCCCCCCCCCCC